ATAAGGTGTAATGTACTGCTTACCATTTATTTGGCTAATCTATCCTGTAAATTTATCAGTAAAAACCAACTCGAATTATTTAGATAAACAACGATTGCTAAGTAATGTTACAATTCAAGATTGTAGGTTTAACAAACCAAAGGAATTGTAAATTACTAAATCGAATTAAAAATGTATAATAATGCAATTCCACAAAGTACATACTGAATATGAACTCAATATCCATAAATACAATACAATACAATACAAAGTTGCAAGGAATTTCGTTATTTTCGAAGAGGACACTTAGTTGGCTCGGATAATAATAGCCGTTCTTGCACTTTGACCTTAAAATTTGTTTATAAACATCAAGAAACTCAGAAAAACTTCTAATTGCTAATATTGATGAACATTTAAAATAATATATTGATTTTGTTTTGCTTAGTATAGTACTACAGGCTGCAACATTGACTGAACTGTATTAAACATATGGTTATGAATACGAATCTGATGCACTTTCATCACAGTTGAATACTAGAAAACCTAAATACCCATTTAATTTCACTTTAAAGTCCAACTATTTCCTCATCCAAGACCGTTTTCAATGGGCCAACATTCGCAGTTTTTCCGTTCCACCAACATTATCCACCTTTCAAGGCAACAATTCGTACTGTCGAGTGCACTCATCATCATACTTGCAACTCGTGAAAGGAGGGGAGCGGGGGCAGGAGGTGCCTCTTTATTGATGCCCACCTGCCAGGAGGCGGGTTGCATTGCAAATTTTTGCAGCCGAACATGCAACCTGCATTTGGCAGTCGGAACAATATCCAGAAAAGGACGAAGCCGAGAATATCCTGGGAATGGGGCTGCCTCGGACGCTGCCAATATTGACTGAGCCAGAGTTCTCGCTTCAGTTCCTTTTTTCTTCCACTCAAATATATACAAGTGTGTGGGGCATGTGTGTTATCCTTGCATTGCGATGCGATGCGATGCGAGAGTATTTTTAATAAAATAAACCCAGAAATGTAATCAACATAAAGGATTTCACACAAGCATATATGAAATTTTCTGCTGCTGATGCTAGCATGGAAACGCTTAACGAGATACCACGTAGATATCATTGACGATGTCCACCCACCTTGCCCAGCCCCACAGCCTCGCACAGTGGGATCGAACTGAAAGTTATGAACTATTTTTAGTTTAAATTTATTACTGATTAGTATCTATATTGTTTGAATATATATGACCTTGTGACTGGAAGATGTCAAATACATCTTACTATTGGGTTTCAAAGGCCTCAAGTCAAGAGCTCAAATATATAATAAATCCCATTTAAAACAATCATAGTTCATGGAGTAATAATAATATATTTACATTTTTATATATGTATATTTTGTTTGCGTTGTTACATAATGACCTAAAATTTCACCTCTTTTCCCATTGTGCACAAAACTAAACCCACAAAAAGGGAGCAGAGCAGAAAGGATGGAAAAATCGTAAGCGCATAGGGCAAACCCTTTATGAAATGTTGTCCAAGGCGAACGTCAATGCAGTCAGCTGTGTGTGCTCTTTGTGTGTGGCCCGGTGGATGTATGTATCTTCGAGATACATTTGCAATTATCGTGACTGGAGGATGCCAGAGCGGGCACCGGACAAGCCGCAATACAAGGCTTGGGTCACATGTTGGTGACAGTTTATTAAATCGATTACTTTCGTTTTTTCTCCATTTTTTGTGTTGATATTCTAAATAAACATATTTTGCCCTCCGAAAGCGAGTGCCATGGAAGGCATTCGTCCTGGCCACTGACCACAATCGTCCCTGCTGCCATTGTTGCTGTTCCTTGCTTGTCGACTGCCAATGATGAGATTCTTCGTGGAAAATGCACAAAACCGTGATAGGAAATCCACAGAATCCTTTGTACTCCGATTGTCTGGACAACTGCATGGCATCAGCACAACACTAGTTTACTGCTAATCAAAAAAGATGGCTAACAATTCGAATTTTGCATTAAATTGACTTTACAATTGACAGCGTTTGGCAAATGCTCGAAAAGTGCATTTGTGACGAGCGTTAGAGGAGGAGGCAGCAGGTGTAACGAATTATTTGCAGTCTGATTTTGACAATCGTTTGAGACACTTTGAGGGGCTTTAGAAATTGATTTTTAATTCTAGTTTACAAATAGAATCAAGTCGAATTGAATCCAATCAAAATGTTAAAAAATTGTTTGAAAATGAAAACTGTATCAATATTGAATGGTGGATATTGTGAATAGTGGATAATCCTCTCCTCTCCTTATATCGATTCCACCAAAGGAGTCTCAACAAAGAGGAGTTGCCTCCAAGTCAAGGGACCACATGTGGTGCTGCCTGAGGATGAGGTTGAGATGGCGGCTCAGCGATTGCGTGCACATGATGAGAACGGGGTCCTCCGCTCTGATCTTAACATCCGAGTACTTTGATTGTAAAACGCTTCTGGGTTGAGGTCGCAGCAGCTAAAACAACTGCCGCCACAAGCCCATCAGCAGGGGAACAGAAATTTACAAGTCCACAAACTAGAAAACAACAAGATCTACCAGTCCCCAGGTTGGCTGGCAATGTGCCCAGGTAATAATTTAAACAATATTTTGAATAATTGACCAGGCACCGATCCTGCTGGCGGCCAGTCGACAGACATGCAACATTTTTCCAATCTTATAGTAGATGTAACACAAAATCAAAGCACTCGATTTGGTGCAGCTCATAAATTAGTCAAGCTCTATAAACTTTTCAATAAAGAAAACCCACTGAACAATCGAGTGAGTATTTATGGAGGCGTCAGTGTGTGGATATAACATGTTCATCATGACAAACCCAACTTTAATAATTATAATAACAAAGAAAGTCATCCCACCTGAGCCATTATGACTTATATATAAACAGCAATAGAACAAATACTATTAATTATGTATCAGTAAAGATATGACAAACGGACATGGCTAGATCCACTTGCCTGTTAATGTTAATTAAGAACTAATATATTTATGAAATGAAAATTGCAAGCTTTTGCTTTTTATATACGTTCTTGATTCGGTTATAAAAGTATAAGTATCCCATTCATCGAAGAAATTTAATTTTTGATCTAAGAAGCTAATGTATATTTTAACAATATACCTTCTCTTGATGCTTTGAGTACTTTCAAAGCTACTACTTTACAAAGCACGTATGTAAGTATTTTTAATACAATAAGTCGTTCATTAAATTACTTCCTAATTACTTAACACAACAAGATAGGTATTTATAATTTTATAGTATAATACATAGTCCATTTCTGCCGCGATGATGTATGTATAGTAGCCACATATCTCGTACATCTACCAAATACTTGACTAATTGATTCTGCGTTACAATTGTCTGGGGTCTGCAGTTGAGCGGAATGTCAATGCTAATAATAATCATGTAAATTGCTTCTGGAATTGAAATGGTTGTGTCTGGAAGTGTTTTCATTTGGCTCGTGCCCAGCCCCCTCTCCGCCCCAGTGTGTGCGCAAATTCAAACATTTATAATCCATCAGAACACTAATGTCTGCCTGGTGACATTTATGGTTTGCCGATGTCGCCTAAACCCGTTCCGTCACCGGACTCTGCGATCCGGCTGTGCCTTTGTGCGTAGGTTGGGACAATGCAATTCCCGCTTGGCTCAGAAGTGAGCTGTGGCTGCAAATATTTTCCCATGGTGCCAAAGCCATATTTTACAAGCCTACAGGTTTCACGTATTTTTCCCCCAATGTTGCTAATAATGAAGCCTGTCAATGCCATGAAACTATGGGGAATTCGTTCTCCTTTCTTTAATTCATATCTGGCTTTCTTTTAACATATATGTAGATATCTTGCCTAGGCCATCTTAAATATATAAGTTCAAAGTCTGATTCTGAATAAAAATTATACGGATCAGACCAATACATATAATAAAAATTATGTAAAATTCAGGATAACTCCTTTGGGAACTTAATTTGTTAAATATTATAGAAATTAAAAATCGGATTACTATTTTCTATAGAATAGAATACAATAGTTTCTGTACATTGAAAAAAAACAAACATGTTTTTTTTTCAAGCATGTAATAAAATAATTAAATCAAAAATTCTGAATTTGAACTTTTTTTTACTTATTATATTTGCAGTCAAACATTTTTATCTCCAATGCTTTATATGAAAACAACATTCTGAATTTAAAAAGAGTTATAGATAAGCACAGTAAAAGTCTTAAGATTAATCTTAATCTTAAATATCCATCAAACATATAGTTAGTGAAATAACTCATAAATAAAATAAAATAACTTTAATAACAAACTAATTGTACGTTTGGCGCTAAGATATAACTTCTTAAAATAATCAAAGAACTCGTTTGTAAAAGCAAACGTACGTAAATAATTTTTTTTGGCATCTTCAAACTTTCGAATGGAACGGCTTTTATCCCGAACTTAAAATAATTTTTTTAAATGTTGAAAAAAAAAGCAATTTTATTATTTACCCGACTTAACATTAATGAATGTGATCTGAAAATGTTGAAAATTGTGATTTCTTCAAAGAATTTTGCAACATCAGCAACCGCTTCAATCTAGCCATATCCGTCTGTTTGAATCTGTATAAATAATCAAACATATGTTTTTATTGAAAATTTTCTATACACCTCCTTTGATTAATACCTTGGGAATTTGTTTGTTCAAATTTTAAATATTAAGGTTATACAAATACATATATCCTTTTTGAAGTTATCTACCTTTCTTCATAAAATTGTCTTAATAATACTATAATAACCTTTATAATAAACTCAACTGGACTTTTAAGGAACATCATATATTGTTACCTAGTTGTTTGTCTTTTATAAAATACAAGACGTACCATAAATAGATTCCCTCTATTTTTTTAAGAATATATTATTTTAAAATTTTCAATGAACTTGTAGAAAAGTACCAAACATGAAGCTGTTTGTTTTAAGAAATTTAGTTTGCTCTTGCAAACTAAGCAAGTCGATTCAATCGAAATTTGTTCTACATTTTAATTCAAAGTCAGGCATTTAATATTGATTAATTTTCGCAGCCCTCACACTTTGCGGCGAGCTTGTGACTCTGCTTAATAGCTTTCGGCACAGTGTGTGTGTGGTTGTGCGATGGAGCGATGGAAGAGATACTCGATTTCAGGCGAAACGCACCGTAAATAAATATAAACATAAATCAGGAAGGAAGCAGAAGAACTGGCAGAGAGGTATGGAAGAAATTCATTGAAGACAACATTCCCAATTGACGGTAAATCACTCTATCGATGTGGCCCGCCAGATAAGAAGTGTTTCGTCTCGTTTTCGCACTTTTACAACTCGGGGCCATCGAACGAGCTCCGGAGAAGAAGCAGTCAGGAAAACGGTCCGGAGAGGAAGGACACAAAGCGACGCAGTGAGCAGTGATATATCCAGGGAATGGGGAATGGAGAAAGGGACATAATCATGAAACATGCCAACTTGACGTCATCGCAATTTAAAGCTGAACTTGTGCCGAGCAACGCACTCGATACAGTAGATATCGCCAAACAGGCCCCCAAAGTGTCGAAATCAAATCAAACCACCTGAGACTGAGACTGAGTCGAGGGAGAACCCAGCACATTTCCAATCCCAACGCAATCGGACCCGAGACCCACCCAACTCTCAAGATGGTCCTCGACCAACTTGAAGAAATCCAATGACATACAAGGTTTGATTTTGGCTTAGGAACAGTGGGATAATCACATGGAAATGATTAGAAAATATTTGAAAAACGGAAATGGAAATTATTAGACATTAAAATTTCTTCGTATATTGAACCTTTGGAACATCTAAATTCAAGAATGTTGCTCAACACTTGCCTAGCAACATTTGTCTCTATTGAGGTGATTCGCAATATGTTCCTAGCAATTGTCAACATTTGTCTTCACATATCAACATTTTCTTCTGCCTTCGATTTGTTTAGTTTATGTTTTTCATAAATTTAATTAGAATCAAACAATGTGAGCCACTTCCATGTTCCGATTAATTTCATCCACACTGTATCGAGTATAACTTTAAAAGCAGTATTAAAAATACCCCATTTTGTTTGATATTTTCAATGGCAGCTAACATACCTATGTAAAAGTCCCTTCCCGAACTCTTTCTACTCAAGATAAATGCTTTCTTCGTTCGCCCCACTGTGCCTTGAAGGTTCAGCTCGGCGTAGGAGAAGCTGAAAGCACACACCACAATGAAATGAGTGATTTATTGGCTGCGGCAATGAATTGAAGCTGATGGCTAAGGACAGAGATGTGGAGCGTGAGCGGCAGTGAAAGAGGCATGTGTCTAGAAGCGAGTGAATAAGATGTGTCAGAGCTGACTAAGTGCCAGACTGACGCCATGGCATCCGAACATGAAGTGGGTAAAGGGAAGGAAACGTCCAAACGCTAAATGTGCAAAGTGGTTTGGAAAAAAGGATCCCGAGCCCAGGCCCGAAGGCGATCCGAAGAACAAAGTCGATAAGCGCGAAATAAAAGCAAAATGTCGTGAGAGGACACTGATATATCACACGCAACATTAAATCAAACCTGAGCAATGGCTGAACTCGCAGGATAGCAGACCGGAAAGGTAGTGGTCGAAATTCCTCTTACTTCTCATGTTTTTTCTTTCCCTTTCCGCTTCATTTCAGGGAACTGTCACTTTGACAATTTACTGGCAAAGACGCCGAGGGAACGAAGCAGGACGGGTGAAGGAAAGCATCCCTATAGTTGATTCCCACTTATCTGATGGATTCCTTGCTGCTGCCCCCTCACATGTTCTGAAACAGTAACGAACTTTCCGGGTTTCAGTCTCTCTCTCTTTACTGTACGGTTTTGAAAGCTCAGCAATCCTGCGGGGTGTTGGGTTGCAAAAGGGAGCATCGCACCCCCGAAAGAGTGAACGAGAGGATGAATAATATTTATGAGGATGAAATGTTCCCAAATGCGACATAAATATGTCCACAGCACCCGCACATGAGAAGAGTGCCAGCCAGAAGTGCGTTGAAATGCCAAGGACCATCAGGGTTGGCCGACCATCATCTGTGGGAGGTGAATTTACCGGGAGGTCCTCGAAACGAAATGGGAAATTATAAAGGTTTCTTGGCGAGCTCAGCTAAAGTAAATGGTCCTTCCATGAGTATGAGGAGGTTCACATGTGCGGTAATTAAGAGCTGGGTCCTCATAATTTGTACTTTGAATTGAAACTTTATTATGGAAGTTTAGATAAAACAATTTCTTTATTACATGTATGAAATCAGTATGAAATTTACATTCAACCACCATTCCCTGGATCTTGAACCAATCAATCAAATTTAGGGGGTGTGAATGAGGCCATGATTTTACAGAAACTACCCTTACAACTTGATGGATTGCTGTCATTAAGGTTCAGGGCATTAGGATTTCACATCAACTGAATAAAAATGGATGAAACAAATCCGAGAAGACTCTAAAGGTTTCTATTGGTTAGTGGACCAAAAAGGTCCAAACCAGTTTGTAAGACATTTTCGGTAACCAAGGGAAGGAGATAAATTGGTTTACTTGAAAAACTACTTGTACTACTTGAGGGGTGATAATATAAAATATACTAGAACAAAAGTCTTTTAACACACATTAAGGAAGATTGACTGTGCTTTGTTGCATCATTTCAACAATTTTTCAGTGCTAGATACAGACTGGATTCTTGAAAGCTAAACTTGCGTGAATGAAACCTCGACATCCGTCCACGCTTCCATATATGTATATAAGTTTGTAGATGTCTGTATGCCAACTCATTAGGCGAGCAAACGTAAATCATTTCGATATCGATTAAGAAATCCACCAAAAAGGGGCCACCGCACGCAACTCAAGCGGTGGAGCTGGAGCACCATGGAGCACCGTGGAGCACCGTGGAGCTCGTGGACCGACAGTGTGCACATCAATTAATGAACCTGTCGCACCACGCGTAAATTTGTCGCCAGTCGACGGTGCCTGCAAGTCACCGACCGTCGCGTCACGTCGCTTTGCGGATCGGAAGCCTTAATGCCGATCGCAGATTGAATTGACCTGCTTGTCAATCAAATCCAATCATTTTGGCGGACATTGGAATTCGCTTTAGCTCCGACTTCGACTTCGACTTCGGCTTCGGCTCCAACTCTGGCTTCCACATGACTGGGCACACCTGTCATAATCAATCACAGCTCGCCCCGCGATTTGAATGCATCAATTATCATTTTGAGCTGGACCCGTGTGAACATTCTCCTGCAGTTCCCACTGCCTGCACACCTCAGCCTCGATTGCCGGGCCTCTAGAGATCTCGGTTGTCACTATTGATGGACTCTGTCTCCAAACTGGTCTCTCGAGAAATAAAACTTAAACCGGTTGGAGTGTAATAGGTTGCACAAAGTTTAAGCAAAGTAATTGATCTTAATCAAGGCAGTCAGTGAGTAGTGATGTAAGCGCATACATGACTTTACAAATTACCCAATAATATTATTATAAGGTAATGTTACGGCAATAACTAAATTATTGTTGCAAAAGATCTATAAAATTACTTAAAGACGGGCAGTTTTCAGCTTTAAAATAATTAATTTCGTAAATACTTCTCAGAATCCTTCAATCGATCCTATGTAAAGATAAAGACTTGATACTTTGATACACTATTATAATTGTAAAATAATATTTTGGAATCATTTTTAAAACTAGCATAGCCATAATGTAATAAAATAATATAATAACTTTGCTAATAATGCTATTTAAATATATATTACTTCAAAAAGGATGTTTTTCGATTTTCCAACAAGAGCTTATTATGATATGGGATTTTCAGTTCAGATATTGGAATTTGGTAAAAACTTCTTCAATTCCAAACGAACAAACTTGTTTCAAACCAAGAACTGTTATTTAAATGTTTACAAAATAGTAAATTAGTAACCTAAAAATTATTATTTCCTTAAAACCATTTGTAGTATAGAATTCAAAGAATAGGTTTTAATAATACAGAAACTAAAGAGACTATACACCAGTTGAGAACTCTAATCTCAATTTATTTAAGTTTTATATTTGACCAATTTTTATACTTTTAACAATGTTTATGGTTTTTAAATATTTTCAAATTCAGAGTATTAACGAACTTAGAACAATGTTAAGTAAAGCTCTTTTTCTCCAGTTATGATTCGTTCAAAACATAGATCAGGATAATGGTGGCTGTGACTCCATCTTGGATGTTTTATAGCTAAACCAACTTATATTTGTTTTTCATTATGCGCCTATATATTAAAATTATTCTTTTTCTATTAAAAAAGAACATTATTCTTAAGAGCAATTGATAGCTGGCTTGACTTACAATTTCAAGACGAAAAAAATTAAATAATTTTCTGGAATCAATTAAAGACTAAATTAATAGAATGAATATGTGCACCTAACCATATGACCCTGTTTGTGAATTTTAGATCCCATCGAAAAAGAATCGAACCTTAGTGAAGTACAGCAGCGAAATTCCTTCAACCGATTGAACTTCAGACAACTTGCTCCAGATTTCTCCGCGATTCATGCAGTTCTTTGACATTTCTCTGCTAACTGTTCTTTCCCTTGCGGGTTGACAAGAAATTTATATTAATTTATTACAGTTCAGCTGACAGAGAATTAAGCGGCAGACAATTTATGGCATTGTTGCAGCGTATTAAGCGGGCAAGGGCTGGGAGGGGGTTTGGGGGAGTACCAGCATTTATATAAATATGCATATTGAGCTCGGCGTCGTTTTCTTTTTCCGTCCCATCAATCGCGTAACGCGAGCGAATTCACTTATTTAGCAGATACATAAATTCACACATATATCAGTCAAGATCAGATCTATCTTGCGGATACAAGGACAAGTGCTACCCAATGACAGGAACGGTGGCAGCCGGAGGAGACAATCCAGCGACAGCCACATTTTGTCGCGACAGTTTCTTCTTTTCGGCAGCGACGGCAAATGTCGGCAACTGTTGGCATTCGTCCCGCTCGCCTCTCCTCCCGCCTCCTCGAGCTGGGAAAAAGTTGTCGCCTGATTTGGGTACAGTCAAACGCCACTCAAAGGCACAACACACACCACACGCTCTGTCGCACTTGCTCTCGCTCTCACTCTCGCTGGCAGCGTCATCATCATTAGCAAAAGAGCTGTTGGCAGCCTTGTCGCTGCCTCCGCTGTCAAAAGTTGATTTACCGTTTTAATTTTAAGTTAAAAACCTGTCAAAAATAAATCATTCAATCCGCTCATCTCCACTCGTCGGTTTCTCTTCTGTCTAGCTCTCGCCTCTCTCGCTCCACCACCTCTACCTCCACCTCAGCCTCGGCCTAGCACTACCTCCCTCTCCCCCTTGCGAATTTACGCATAGACAGAGACAGTGACCCAGTTGCCAAAACTCTCTGCGAGTCTCTTCTTGCCGCTCTCTTTGCAGCCTCCGATGCATCAAGGCGGAAGCTCGTGGGGGACAGGAGGTGCGAGGGGCTCTGGAGAATGAGTTGCAGAGTATTCTCATTCATAAATCGACCGAATGGCCTCCTCTGTAATTGATGTCCTAGACGAGTCTGACAGTTTTTAATTATGCCACTAATTCTACGTCTGCGAATGTGCCAAGTGAAGAGCTCCCGTCGTATCGGGAGTTCCCCCCATTGGGATCGTCGCGAGGAATATAATAAGCAATTAGCTTGGAGGCTAATGACAGTGCTAGGCAAAAGCAAATCCCATATATTAATTACATATTTGTTGGGAAAAGGTAATGATTTAAAGCACATTGTTTTTAATTGTATTAACTGACTATATAGTACAGTTAATTGGAAAAATCCAATATTATTTAATTAAAGGTAGCGGCAGGGTTCCAATTTAAAGATTCGGATGTGCCTCAACCTTGACCTGATATATAGATTTCACCTTGCCACCTTCCTCTTTAAGAAATTTCACAAGTAAATCTTCGTAAATTGTTAATTTCTTACCTACCATGGTGCGCCAGAAATACTTTGTAGATATTTTTGCCCCGTGTACTATTATTAATAAAATTGTACACAAATCACTAGTTTTTTTAGCTTTAAAATAATAATACGTGTAGCGCAACTAGGGATGACATTTCCATACATCAAAAAAACAAATTGTCAGAACAGTATTTTTAATTGAAAAAACTTAATGAAAGAAGTAAAATAAACAACAATGACCCAATTGTCGCATTTATTTTCGATAATATCGATATATTAAAGGAAAATACGATATACATATCTCGATATTTGTACGTTCTTATATAGATTCTGTATATTTTATATGACAATTAAATGAGCAATTTTTGTCTGTATATCATACCGAAATTTTCATCTCGATATGGATCTTGCAAAGTAAATCTTACTAATATAATCGATTTATAATGTATTTTATAAAACGTTATGACAAATGATGTATGAGTGACACACCTAACCAGAATTCATCTGGCACCCCAATACTCCTCGAGGTAAGTGCTTAAGTATCATGCTTAATGTGTTGCAATGGAAATTAGGGCAAAACTTACAACTTAAATGAACAGACTACTAGACTGATCCAAAAATCGTAATCGCGAGCAGGGCATAGCTCACGCTGACCCAAGACAAATTAGCCATAAATTTGCATTAGCATACACACCAAGACCTACTCACAGCCTCTAGTAGTTCCGTGCCAGGCGGGCCATAGGAATAATCTTAATATGAAATCAAAAGTCACGATATGGGTATTTGCTATATGTAACCGAATAGACTGGGGCCCAAATTGGACCGGGGGGTACTGGTACTTAGGTGATCTTTTAACACCGGACGATGGGAGATGGGAGATTTCGAGGTGAATGTGAAGAGACAAGCAGCGACATCCAACAACCGAAGAACCGCGAGCAACGACAACGACGACGACAACAATCGAAAAATGAACGACCAGCCGAGGTGAATAAATCAAACTGATTTATTGGCATCGACGACTGAGGAGCCCCCAAGTCACTCGAGGAGTCCAACGAGCCCCGCAACAATGACAGTACGGATGAAGGGGTGCCAATGTGGTGGGAAGACCACGCGTGACAAATCTGCGGACAGGAGGACAGGAGACAGGCAGCCACAGCTGCAGGATGCACTTGGCCAATTGGCTTAGCGGAAAAAGCGAACGATGACTGATCATCAGATGCTGATGTGACCTGGCAGGTGACTGA